ATGTCCATAAACTTTAGCCAAATGTCGGCAATCTTGTTGGTCTGTTTCCTTTTCGTTTATTCTTAGTAGAATGCAGTCAGTTTTAATACAATTACAAAACATTGCTAGCCCAGGTTGGGTTTTTTTGCAAGCCGTAATCAAATTAATTATTTGCACTATTTTTTAGTCATTGAATCTTAGTTTAATAGAGGCGATGTTGGTTTGTATTTTATGTGTTTGTTTGTTGTTTGAAAAGCTTTTAGTTGGTTAATAAAAAACACAAATTGAATAAAACTATTATTTACGGATTTTATCGCGTTTAATTACTTTAATTTATTTTTATTATTATCCCGACGTTTCGGGTGCTTTACAGCGCCCATGGTCACGGGGGGACTGAGATGTTTGACGTCCCAATGTCATAGTTAGTCCGGCTACCTTCAGTTTTTTAATATTAATTTTTGGTCCGATTTACGCAAAACGAGCTTATAGTATCATGAAGTCTTGCAGTGGTATGCTTGGGTTTGGGTTTAATTTTGTTAATTATAGGCTCCCAAGCAGATGGTAGCACCCAACCATCTTCTCTATTGAAATTTGGATGTTTTTTTAATTTCAATAGCTTCGCGTATCATCCTTGGTAGGAATCGGTGTTCTTTTGCGAGAATTTGTGGTTTATCAAATCTAATGTAATGGTGGGGACGATCTTGAACATGTTCGCAGACTGCAGACTTCCCGGAGCGTCGGTGCTTCACATCAGCTATATGTTCCTTCACGCGGGTTTTTATAGATCTCTTTGTTTGACCTATGTAAGAGAGACCACATTCACAATCTAGCTTATACACACCTGCATCTTGTAGAGGAATATTACATTTGATGGATGGTAAAAATTGACTAATCTTCTTCAGCGGCTTGTAGTATGTCTTAATGGACGCTCGCTTCAAGATGTAGCCAATCTTGTCCGTGACTCCTCTAACATATGGTAGTAGGGCAGGCGCGCGCTCGACTGTGGCCGGCTTCACTCGTTCACTGTGACGTAGGCGCGGGACCCGAAGCTTGTTGTCTTGCAATACTTGCTTGACGTGCTGAAGCTCCGCGGCCAGATGTTTTCTGTCACAGATCCCTCGTGCTCTCTGAAACAAAGATTTACCCACGGTAGCTAACTGTGAAGGATGATGGTGAGATTCACCATTTAAATATCGGTTGGTATGGGTCTTTTTCCTATACACAGTGTGACCAATAGTGTTATCAGGATTTCGGATGACTAAAACATCTAGGAAAGCTAACGAATTATTTGCCTCTAACTCCATTGTGAATTGTATTTTAGAGATTATGGAGTTAAGGTGGTCTAAAAATGCAGTTACTTTGTCAGATGGTAAAATTGTGAAAGTGTCGTCTACGTACCGCTTGTAGAACCTTGGATTTACAGGAGCAGTAAGAAGGGCTTTCTCCTCAAAGTCCTCCATGAATATGTCGGCGACTATGGGAGACACAGGTGAGCCCATCGCTTTTTTTGCGAGAAAGATTGCCGACATTTGGCAATATAATACGACAATAATAATACTATGATCTTATTCATTTGTAGCTTTCATTGAATGATTTTAGTATATAATTGGTAATAGATTTTCAAAAGCCTTTCAAGACGTTAACTATGCACGCAGTATAGAAAAAAGATGCGTGCGGTTTGCTGCAAGAGCGAAAGAGACGCATTGATACGTTATTTTGCGTCACTGCGTGCTTAGGTAACGTCGTGAAAGACTTTTAAAGACGGCTATACATGTTGGCCAAGCGAGCACCAACGTATAGACAGTCCATTTGGCAAGACTCGCCATTGCTCGTCGACGGTCGCCTAGCTGGCCGAGTGCAAGCGTACACCAAATTGTATACGGTTTGTTTGGCATACCTTGCCGCCACTCGGGATCGCTCGCTACGACCATACCACTTCGGAACAGTGTCGGTTTTTCTGCACAACTCATAGGCGCTTGCCTGCATTCAGCAAATCGCGTCCACATGTTAGTCGCCCATGTCAGTTACATTTTGGCGTACGTCCCGGTGAGATAATGATTTAATTAAGTTGCAACTATAAAATAATTTCGACGATTTCACTATACTAACGAGGACGTTTTTAAGTTTTGTGTCTTTACTGCGGAGTACACTGAAATAATAATTATACGCACTTGTAGCAGCCAGGCGGGGTCACCACTGTGACCACGGAAGGAAAAAGGGGAGATCTTCCACTGGGCAAGGTGTTCTGCCCGGGGAGCGGCCAACACTCCGTGTGATAGTTCGGAGCTGTTCTATATGTACTGTTTATGATTCGTAATGTTGATAGCGTGATTTAGGCTTCGGTGTGTTTCGCTTGCGGCGCGACGACAGCGCCACCACACCCTTATTTAATAAATAGTTTTAGCTGCAATGATTTTTACGTCGTCCATATCATACCAATTCTCTATGTCGACTACTCCTCGCTCCACAAAAACTCGTGAACATTGGCCATGGATTTGGTCTCTTTCGAACTTGAACAACATGTAGACTGTAGCACTCGCCTTGTATCAATTTGGCTACGCTCGCGTTGACTGAGGCTTGGCCCAGATGTATTGCCGGGGTTAAAGTCTATCGCCAAATTTCCTTCTTACCGAATAACCTTTCTTTACCATATTATATGTCTTATAATATGACATTGTGAAAAGCTTGAAGTGCTCATATAGCTGTTATTATGTTTAATTACTCTTAAGTAGTTGAATGCTATTAGTCCCCGTTTTATATTTGTTAAGTTACATAACGTTTAACGTAAAATAACGCTAAACGTTCAACATAAAACCAAAAAATAAATACAAAAGCTGTTGTGTTTATAATTTGAATTATTTTTTCACTAATTTTTTTTTCACTAAAAAGAACATCTAAGCGTACATATACAGAATAGCATGCTTTACGGGATTTAGATTATACACGTGGTAGAGCCACGCTGCAACTATATTAGTCTTGTAGCACAAATAGGTCGGCTCGACCGGGGAAGGACCACGCTCTTACAGAATATCAACGTAAAATAATAGCTTGATGCTGTTGTGTTTCTTATGGTGAGTGTAGAGAACCGGAGCGGAGACCCGTTTTACTGGAATCAAGGTGAAACTAAGATGAGTCCTCAGGGGTGACAACGCATCTGCATTTTGATTCTTAATCTAGGTTAAATATAGGTGTCTATGGGTCACAGCATGCACTTATCATCAAGTGAATAGTATGCTCGTTTGACACCCTAATAGTATAAAAAATACAAGTTTGTTTGTGTGAAGCTAAGAAGTTTTCAATTCTGACGTGCAGTCCTTCGACTGACAATGTTTTTAATTGTAATATACAAATGCTAATAACTTTACTAATATTTACTTCAATCCCTACAAGTAAGAATTAAAAACTTATGTTACGTGTTTCACATGATAACAACAATAATCGATTTGGAAGATCTTTCAGGTTTAAAGATAACTGTTTGTTTCTTTTAACACTGTGCTAATAAGGTTAATCTTAGATTAACTATTTCATGTGGAACATCTAATAAATATACTTTAATATAAAATTAAACTTATCATTACCTACATACATATTTATTATGTTCAAATGAGGTAAATGACAACAAAATAATGGAGCTTTGTGTTTAGGAGGATAATATATATTTAAATGTTTAATACTAAAACTGCACACAACAAAGGTTAACATTTTTTATTTAAATTTTTTCATAATATGATGTTGACATATTTTGTAGAATAAGAGTGACAAACGAGCGCGCAGTCCACTTGACAGTAAGTGAATGCTGTGGAACATAGACACCTACAACTATCCTCCATTCAGAACCTAAATGTGGATGTACGCGGTCCTCATACGTATGAGGACCGCGACATAATGCCCGTTACCTGTAAAAAAGGTATCCAGTCATCTACAATAACCATCGAAATACAGCAGCATTAAACCATTATTTTACGTTGACAATCTGTGAGCGCATGGTCTTTCACCAAACAAGTCGGCTAATTCGTGCTACAAGCATATATTGATATACACTCTCTAAATATAAGAACAAAAACAAGCTAGTGTTATTAGTTTCTCGAATCAACAGAACCAGTAATTAATTCATGGAACAACGTATACGTTGTTACAACAAAGTCTCAGCAAATATACAAGGAAAGTTTAAATATTTCATATTCTTTCTAGGACATAGGTTTTTTTTATGTATAAATAAAATATGAATCGAATAAAAAACTATATTTTATTCTATTATACCGTGTAGTGACGGTGTAAGAATTTTCACTACCCTATATCATCCCTTGGGTGTCGTAAGAGGCGACAAAGGGAAACAAATCAAGATGCGTCTTCCTAATAAAGACTAAAATTAAAAAAACTGCGGTTTTCAACCCGCTTGCCAGGTGTGGCAACTATGGCAAAAATTCCCCCTATTAACACTTTCCGGGACAAACCGCCTCTCGACGTTATCTCGGTATATTGCTACGTAACTATATTACATGTAATTTGGAAAACCGTCGATAGCCGTTGCTTGCTCATAACATTCCTAGGAAGCACATGACCTAGTGTCACATCACGCAACTTCATTCGTTCGTAGGCGTCACGGTAAACTCTTTTTGAGTCATTTTTCAACACACACATACGCAGTGCTCATAGACCAAAACAACACAGTCACACCGCCGACAGACGTAGACTGAGCCATACAAGTACAATAATGTTGATATTTAGTGTCACGGCGTATGCGCCGCCAGCGTGTCGTCGCATAGCTGCGTGTGGTTTTTGATTTTCATCAGCGAAAGCAAGGTAAATAAAGCTTATTTTTACCTATAATCTAATTTAGTTTGATTCATATATTTGTTGTGTTATACAGTATTGCTGTTTTTTTACTTGTAGGGATAAAAACATGATGTAAAAGTAAGAAATTAATGAACATAAACCTATTGTTCAAATGCTATTTACCCACTATTTACGCTTCTTCCTAACTGTTTTTATTGTAAGTATTTACCTATATTGTTTCACAGATGGCGTCAAAACGGAAGAAACTGACATCAAGTAACTGCCCAAGTCTGTTTTCTGCTGAAGACAATGCGGATGAAAGCCACCACGACCCATACAGTGACGCAGATGGCGAGTTCGGTTCTGATACAAATTATGACCCAGATGGTGCTCAAGAAGGCGAAACTAGTGGATCAGATTATGAGATTTTCAGTACGAGAAACGTTAGGCTTATGCGTTCCAGTAGGATTAGTGAAAGCCCACTTTGGTCCAGCGATTCGAGATCAAGTATGGATGATTCTGTATTGAACCAGGAAGTCGATGAAATCTTCTTGCAATGACCCGTCTGTCTTAGAAAACTGCGTAGAAGATGGAGTAGTGGGCTCTCCGATACCTCACTTATCTTGTCATTACCATCAAACTGAACAAATAGATCCAAATCCCACCGATATATTATCAAATCAAACACTAGAGACTGTCAATGAGCATTTACCAACTACCCCAGCCCCGGATGACGCAGGATGGGTAGATACTGTTGTCGATATTCTTGATTTTACCTTCGATAACAACCCCACATAAATGAAGCCGCAACTGAAAAAGATGTTTTAGATTTACTGTTAACGCCAGACCTTGTTGACTATTTAGTGAATTGCACGAATACATATGGTAACTCACTACTAAACCAAAACCGACCGCACACTAGACATTCAAGACACAGAGTTTTTCATAGGACAAATGTAGAGGAGATGTATAAATTTCTTGGTCTTTCTCTGCTTTCCGGACAAATTCGTGTGCCTGAAAATCGTAAGCCATTTACTCACGCTGACCCATTATATTACCATCCTATTTTCAATTACGTGATGTCGGGTCGAAGGTACGAGCAAACCTTACGATGTCTATACGCATCTGAATTCAACGCGAAATGGCCAGATAACATAAACGGATTTATAGATATACTGACTCGCAATCTCCGTCAACTCTTTTATCCTGATAAGGAGCTATCGCTTGATGAATCTATAATACCTTTTAGAGGTCCATTAATTTTTCGCACATATATGCGGAACAAGAAGACCAAGTACGGAATTAAGTTTTATGTATTAACTTCTCATGACGCATATGTTTTGAACCAAAAATGTACTCTGGTAAAGCAGACGTTGATGAATCCAATACGGGTGGAAAAACCATTGAAAAACTTGTCTTATGTTTAATGAGACCTTATCTGCTTAAAGGCCATGAATTATACATGGATAATTTTTATAACGCCGTGACTCTCTCTGAGAAACTACTTGACCTGAAAACACATACGTTTGGGACGTTAAGAAGTAATCGAATGGGTAACCCAATACTTCTAGCAAAAAAAAACTGAAAAAAAGGTGAATATTTTTGGCTACGAAAAGGCAAGGTTTACGTGAGTCATTGGAAAGATAAACGGCAAGTTTTGATTTTGACAACTTTGGATCAACCTGAGATGAGTGATGTTACCAACAGATGTGGGCAAAAGCTCAAAAAACCTAAAGAAATGGCTCGGTACAACAGCTTCATGTCAGACATTGATCGTGCTGATCATATGATCAGTTACTATTCTTGGCCTCGGAAGACGATAAGGTGGTACAAAAAAGTTATTTTTCATATGTTAGATGTTGCTGCCTGGAACGCATTCTTCTTGTTCAAAAAGTATTGTTGCGAGCTTGAGGTTCGTGACAATAAAAATTGCCGATAGAATTACCTAAATTAACACTTTAATTCACTTTACACTAATTAAAGTCAAAAACACTAATAATTAATCACACTGACTCACTTTATTCCGCTCCGAAGCTTCGCTTGTCTCGCCAACTTCAATACTTCCTCGATCGCAACTTGCAACGCCTATAAATACACATTAGTACCGAATCATCCAGAACATTCAAGTAAATACGCGCACCGATCGACAAAGCGCCGAAAGATCGAGAGTCAGCTTCCAGAAGCTTAGTTTTTCTGTTCGATACTAGATGGCGCTAGTGCCGGCGACTTCGGCGCGTAACGCTGCCCCCTCCTAAGACATGCTCGTCCCGATCATTATCGGCCCCATAATATCGTGCCAGGCGATCCACATGGACGATCTTAGGAGTCCCTCTTGCGACTTTCTGTAACGGCTCCGCAATATCAAGGGCTGTCCTATCCCATGGTGCACCAACATTGTACAATTTCGATGCTCCTCTACTACGTGTCTGAGGTCCCCGCACGGCCGCACAACTTGTACATGTACGACACCAAGCCTCGACATCGTCAGGATAATGGACCCAGTAAAACTGTTTTCGGACCTTCAGCAGAGTGCGTTTAACTCCCGGATGGACTCTTGAACGACCATTATGGCACAGCTGTAGAACATTCGGCACTTTAGCCTTAGGGACAACCATTTGCAAACGACAACTGTCTCCTCAACCACTGTCCCATTTACGGTACAGGACTCCATCCTGAATTAGCAAGCCGTCCCACTGGGCCCAATAGCGTCTAGTGGTCGAACTCATCGCTTAGACGTCGCTCCACTTAGGCTTGGTAGTACGGGCCTTCATCCATTCCAGAATCGGCTTGTTATCCGGATCTTCCTGCTGTGCACGTCTTAGGCTGTCTTTCCACTCGTTGCTGAGGTGGTCTGTCCTGAGCATCCTCACGGATACCACTTCCTTACTCTCTTGCCTAGTACAATTTTTGCAATCTTCAGGACAAGGTCTTCTTGACAATGCATCTGCGTTGCCATGAGATTTCCCGCTGCGATGTCTGATAGTAAAGTCGTATCCCGGCTGCTGTTGGGCGGTGATGATAGCCGCACTTCCCTTCTGAGATCGTTCACCTTCCATTTCTAGGGTTCGCTTAGGGCAGCTGGATTGAAGATGGCCCCTTTCCCCACAGCCATAGCACCTAGGGCTGTATCCTTTGTTGCAGTCGCGAACTGTAGCTGCTGCAACCTCCCTAGCGCGAGGGAAACGACGATCCTGCCACCGCCAGGCGGTGCCGTTAGCTGCACTACCCTCTCGAGATCGATCAACTCTCCTTTCTACAGTTCGCTTAGGGCAGCTGGAGCGAAGATGGCCCTTTTCCCCACAGCCATAGCACCTAGGGCTGTATCCTTTGCTGCGGTCGCGAACTGTAGCTGCTGCAACCTCCCTGACACGATGGGAACGATGATCCTGCCGCACGGCTTCCACCTCCAGTGCATGGGCCAAGGCGTGTCATGGTGCCCGAGTCTCACAGCAGCTCTGACTTCAAAGTCGCGGATGCCGTCGATGAATGCCTGAACCAGGTTCCCTTCAATGAGCGCAGGTACAGACTGGTATGCTTTTCGAACCATCTTCTCCACCTCAAGGGTCCACTGCTGCAGGTTTTCGTTGCTGCGTTGCACGCGATCTTTAAGCTGCGCGCGAAAGACGTGTTCCAGGTGAGCGTCGCCATATCTCGCCTCCAAGGCCTCAAGGAGCTGCTCGTAGGTCACTTTCTTACCGAGAGCTTCCAACACAGTTAAGGCTTGGTCGCGCAGGCCTAGGGTAAGTGCAGTCATGGCTTGGCTTTTTCCACCAAAGTACCAAACCTTATCCTTCACCTCCCTCTCTTTTCCAAGGTACGTAAAGGTCCTTCATGAGGAGCATCTGCTCTTCCTTATCGCGTTGGAGTTGCTCTTCTAAACGACGGGCCTGTTCCTCCTGCTGGCGGGCCTGTTCCTCCTGCGGCCCTTTCCTCCTCCCGGGCCTGTTCCTCCTGTCCACCCCGCAACTGCTCTTCCAAACGACGGACTTGTTCCTCCCGTCGGCGGGCCTGTTCCTCCTGTCGGCGAGCCTGTTCCTCCTGCTGCTCTTTCAACAGACGGGCCTGTTCCTCTCGTCCGCGCTGCAGCTGCTCCTGTAGCATCGCCATCAGAGCACCTAAGTCAGGTGCTGCAGATGTAGGAGCTAATGACGGGCCCGCAGCCTCCGTGCCTGGCAGTTGGCCCTCCGACGTCTGCGCCGTTGCACCACCAAATCTCCGCTGGTCCGTCTCATGCTGGCGTTGACTGCGGGTACGGACACCCTCCGTTTCCTCCTTAGGTAAAATCGGCATGATTTTATCCCACTTCTGACACTAATTGTTACGAGCTTCAGGTTCGTAACAATAAAAATTGCCGATAGAATTACCTAAATTAACACTTTAATTCACTTTACACTAATTAAAGTCAAAAACACTAATAAACACTGCAGCATTACGCTGAGTCATAACCTTTTCACTGGCTCGATACACACCCCATCACTTGTAATATTAATTTGATAAATTTTAACTGTTTATTATTTTATTTTTGTGATGTGTACAGTTCCAGTGAATAAAGGTTTTTCTTTCTTTCTTTCTTTCTTTCTTTAATTAATCACACTGATTCACTTTATTCCGCTCCGAAGCTTCGCTTGTCTCGCCAACTTCAATACTTCCTCGATCGCACCTTTCAACGCCTATAAATACACATTAGTACCGAATCATCCAGAACATTCAAGTAAATACGCACACCGATCGACAAAGCGCCGAAAGTTCGAGAGTCAGCTTCCAGAAGCTTAGTTCTTCTGTTCGATACTAGATGGCGCTAGTGCCGTTACTTCGGCGCGTAACAGTATGTTATAAAGAATAATGTCAAGAAATACGGATATGTTGAATACAAAGATAAGTTGATAAGAAGTTTTACGAAACTTGGTGATGTGGTTGGGAAAGACCTTGTCTCAGTTGACGCATGGAAGAGATATCCACCAAAAGCTCCTGAACCAAGCACCTCAACGCCAGGAATAGGCGTTGGTCGTTGGCCAATTCGCATTGCAGCGCATGAAAATTCGCAATAGAAGTATTCTTTTCTAAACTGTAGAGTTTGCCTAAGTCAGGAGCCAAAAAGACGTAGGGAGACAAGTTACCATGCCGCTGTCCCAAATCTTCTCCAGTATGTCCAGAATGCTTTGAAACCTGGCACAGTATTTCTAATCCTCACATACGCCAATAATTGGATTATTTATTTCCTTTTCTACAAATTACTTTAGATAAGAAGAAACTCTGTTCAATATGTTGTAAGTTTTAAACTTAGAAGTTCTGTATTTTGTTTAGTAATTTTTAAAGTTTTTTATGGCTTCTTAAGTTACTTTAATATTAATAAAAGGATGTTAATTAAAGGAATACTAAGATAAGACTAGATACTACTAAGATAGAATAATAAGACTGATTACTGTCAAAGACAATTAAAGTACAAGTTTGATTTATGTAGTGTTGATTATTTTCTTACCTGTTTAGTGTAGATGACATTATAAGAGAACCAAAGTTAGTCGAAAGGCAATAATGTCAAGGGCCGTAACTGTCATATAAC